GGCCTCATTCTGTGTGCGTTCGAATTTCATCAGCTGATTATCTAATATGATGCAACTGGTCTTCTACTAGTTGCATAACATATTCTTTAGTAGCAGACATAAAGTGTATAACATTCAATGCGCTTCATTTCATTTAGCATATGGTAAGATTTATTCTTTCTACTGACAAGATGTCATGAGTTCAATAAAATGTAAGATAACTGTGCTATTTTCCTCAACACATCATTATCATTACATGCCATCTCCACCCTAAAAGTCAGCTGTAAGCAGTCTCAAACACTCTCTGATATAGCACCTTCTCATGCAGGCTTCTTCTATTCCATCTTGTGATATTGTCCACACTGACAAAACTATGATTGCTGTAAGGACTTATACTGCTTTGATTGCTGAGATATCCACTTGTATACTGATACACAGTTAGCAACCATGATTTTGATCCATTAAAGACAGCCTTGGGTCAACATATAATCGTGGTAATCTAGGACATGATAACAGACATGTATGCTGAGGACATCCAAGAGAAACCCTACAAATGAAGGTTGCTGAGAGAAGCTAAAGGTGCCAGACTGGATTCCATCCAAAATATCGAGGGATTTCACAGGATTGAACAGAATGGAGGACTTTACTGCGAGTCATATGTCATGCATAATGGCATGGCAGGATGAAGATGATGAATCTAGGACATCGGGCAAATTTAGCTCATTCAGTACCAAGGAATTCACTTCAAACACGATTTGCTTGTCTTAACTCCGTGTGTCTCACCCATTTGTTACATAAAGCCACTCTAACCCAATTGTTATTATAACTACTTTTATCAAATGGTTTGGTTACTTAAAGGCAGACCCACGAAATGAACAATTTAAGGTAGATTCTTTAAACAAACAACTGACTGCAGTAATCCATCTAGGACTGAAGGAATCCAGAACAAAACTGTATACAAACCTGTATGTTCAGAGCTGAGCCAGACTCCACTAAAAAAATACTGACAAAGTCCACAGAGATTCTGGTCATCTCATATTTCACCTCTTCAGCACTGGGACACAGGAATGGTAAATTCTTGGAATTGAAGCATGACTCTTGTGGCATCATGTGCTGGCAGTACTTGAATGGTATAGACGTCTGTAACTTGTTTTCAGCATTCTCAATCATCATGTAAAAAGTCTGAAGGAACTCTGCTATGTTCTGCAGCTATAATGATGTAACAAAATGAGTGTTAGTTAAACAAATATCAAGGAAATCTGATGTTCTCTAGTTTAAATCTGACTGTTGGTTACAAACACCCAAAGAAACTCATGCTTTATTCTCTGGTTTATATCTCTGATAGTTCTTCTTCTTCACGTTCAGTGACTGTAAACTCCATAGGAAGGTTTTGGTTGTTTGTCCATCTCTAGACATCAGTCTTTTTCTAGAACCTAAGTCTTGCAAGCATATCCGTTTTACAGATCCGACTTATTTGAATGAAGGCTGCTGATTACTTGCCTCTCAGGCAGATGCAGTCTGACTTCCACATAAGCTCTGAATTAGTACTCTTACAACAAAGGAAGTGTTAGTTAGTTAGTTTCAAACACCAAAGAAACTCTGCTATGTTCTCAAGTTTATATCTGATAATCTGTGTTACACTTTAAGAAACTCTGCTATGTTCTCAAGTTTATATCAGATAATCTGTGTTACACTTAAAGAAACTCTGCTATGTTCTCAAGTAAGTATTAAACTGTGTTAGTTATGGAGGGTCAGCATCTATTCTTTGGCTACTACCAACACGCTTTGTAATTCCAAGATGCCAGGTTTGATCCCAGCTGCGGGCCATTTGGCAACACATCGTCTTGCAATGGTTTTGACAGATGTATTAAGAGTCAACTATTCAAAAATCAATGGGTAATTTCTGAATTTACATTTTGCCTTGTGAAATCACAAACAATTAGAAAAAAAACTTCTGGGGTTGGTTCTGCAATGTCCTGTAAAGGATATGTAAATAATTTTTTTTTTAAGTAGTCAACAGATAACTAGGTAGCAAGCCTTGTGTGATGTATAACAGTACAGCCCGTTGAGACAGACAGACAGACAGACAGACAGACAGACAGACAGACAGACAGACAGACAGACAGACAGACAGACAGACAGACAGACAGACACAGACACAGACAGACAGACAGACAGACAGACAGACAGACAGACAGACAGACAGACAGACAGACAGACAGACAGACAGACAGACAGACAGACAGACAGACAGACAGACAGACAGACAGACAGACAGACAGACAGTCACGCACACTCACACAAGAGGAAGACTACTATGGATTCTAGTTTTTATGTAACAGACAATGTTAGTTACGGAAGGCTGGACTGTGAACCCATGTGAAGTATAATAGCATAACAGGACATGATGTGTTAGTTACTCTTGATTATGTATAAGGTAGTAGCTTGCTTAGTTACAAACAGGCTAAGTTCTCTAGTTTATATGGGTATTATATGCATAATTATAATGGTGGTGAATTGATACATGACAAGACAGATGTGGTCACAGCCCTTTGGGAACAAGTAACAAAGTCAGAAGAGAAATTAGATAACTTTAGGCTGGAGACACTGATGCACCAGGGTGTGACCAGAGAGTTCGGCCGGCACACTACGCTCAGAGGAAAGGCAAGACGGACATACAACCAGACTACGACTGGCACCATTAGCATTGGAACTATGCACTGGCTGCTGATAATAAGTAAGGAGCGCGTATGGGAATGTCCCGAGTGCTGTGATGTCAATTCTTGACTCAACTCAACTTATTTTTCTTGTTGTCCCAACAGTCAATTTTTCTCTTCTTACGTGGCCAAAAATTATGACTGCATCTATCTAATGTTTGCGATAAGTTAGATTAATGTTAGGGTGGTTATTCAACAACAACACAAACAAAAGTGTTTGCCAATGGCAAATACAGACAAGGAAACAGAATTTCCTTGTTACCTGTGGTGTTGTCAATTTCCCGGTAACCTCCCCTACTATAACCTCTATGAGCCAAGCATATTCCAGGGTTTCACTGTCTAATGGAAATCCTTCCAGGGAGAACATGGCATGGCCACGAACTTGAAGTCCTGACAAGGCCAAGTGCCCATCCTTCAAGTGTTCCTGCTCTGTGTCTCTCTGTGAGAAACAAAACAATTGCATACAATTCTGCAAGATACAAAATAACCACATAACATTCTGCAAGAAACAAACCAAGATACAAAACAAAAACCATAGAAATTCTACAAGATACATTCAAAACAACCCTATAGCATTCTAATAAATATTTAAATAAATGTATAGCAATCTACAAGATACAAAACGACCACATAGCATTTAACAAGATAGAAAACAATCACATAACAGTATACACTAAACAAAACAATCACATAATATTCTACAATAAAAAAAGCAATCACGTAACACTCTACAATAAACAAAACAATCACATAACATTCTACAATAAAAAAAGCAATCACGTAACACTCTACAATAAACAAAACAATCACATAACATTCTACAATAAACAAAACTGACATTGCTTTAACAGTTTTTGTTAATTCTGGTTGAGTATAAACAGCAAATACATACCAACACTGTATTACCAGTGCAAGACTTGGACATTATCAAAGGCTAACTAACCTATGAAAAATTAACACCAGTGAAATGAGATGCCTGAGAAAAGCCACCAACCTAACCGGCTGAGACAAAGTTAGAAATGAAATTATCAGACAGATTGTAGGAACAACACCATGCAGCAAATTTGTTGCGAAACAGAAAACAAAAAGGTTTGGTCATCTAGTGAGAATGTTGCCAGAACAAGTACCAACACAGGCACCACACCTGAACAGATCTAAAGTAAAAGCAAGAGGCCACTCAAGGAGATAACATTAAAGAGCTTCTTCATCGACACATAATGACAACAGCCATTGCTGCACATCCAGCAATGGATTACAAACTGTTCCTTCCCACGTTGCAGAAGTGGAAAATGATGATGACGACGATGATGTTAATTTTGATAACAAAAATAATCAATGGCTGCAGTCTGGTGATGAGACAGTATTAAATCATTTCGCAACTTTAAACAAGACACTGAGGTTTGAAGTTTGACATTCTATATAATTTGCTCGCCTGTGGATACAAAGGCTATGAGTTCAGGTTCTGACTTGGCCAGATTTTATTGTTCCAAATTACCTTGGCTCACAGGTCAACCCATAGATAAATGGGTACCAGGTAGTCCTGGGAAGTAAAGGCATGATACTGACCATATCACCCACCAACTGTCTATAAAATACAGGTCTAGCACTAAATGCCATATACGCCTCAAGTTATTGGAAAAGGTTCTTTCTTTACTTTTCCTGTTAAATGTGACTAACTACAAAATAAATCATGCAGAGATCAAACAGCATGAAGAACCTATGGCAAAGCACCTGTAAACTAGTTACAGTAAAAATCTTGAGATAATGCAGTTTTCCTGTGGCAATATACAGCTGTGAGTCCTGGACTCTCGCCTAATCACTGAAGAAAAGATTTGAGATTTCGAAATAAAATGTTACAGAAAAATTCTCAGAATACCTTGTATCTAGAAGAGAAAAAAACACCAACCTTCTACATAAGTCAAACATCATGGAGAACTGGTGCATAAACAGTGTCCTGTCCCGACAGCTGAAGTATTCTGGCTACATCAAACACCATGGTTGCTTAGAAAAGACGGTGATGGAGGATGCGGTTTGTGGAATGTGAGGCAGTGGTCGACCTCCACAAAGACAGATACAGGACATTAAAGAAGCACTGGCATTGAAAGCACATGGGGCTGAAGAGCTAGCTAGGGAAAGGGATATTTTCAGGCGTGCTGTGAAGAGAGAGCGACGTTCTCAAAAGGACTTGCTGACCGATGATGACGATCAAATAAATATATGACAAGCACCACTGTTGAACGTTTCACAAATGTCCCAGTTTTCTTATGAATGAGTCTCATAAACAGAGGCAGCAAACTGACTCACCTTTGCCAAGTGTGCCTGGATATCATGAAGTGTCACAGAGACGGTCACAGAGAAGGGCCGATATTTTCTAGCATCAAATGGCTGCTCATCTTCATCAGGGTAATCCACATGGACATAAGTGGCTTCTATGTCGCTCTGTTTGCTCAGGTTCTCCACAAAATCAGTGGCTTTCTGAAACTCTCCGAGGTAGTTTTCCTAAGAAAGAGGTTTCAAATGTTGAATCAACAGAGAAATATATGACATTAATGTGACATACAATTGTAATATAACTAGAATGTCCTTGCACTGGAACCCCCCGGGTCAAAGGAATAAAGGCAGCCCAAAGGGAAATGGAGAAGAGAAAAAAAGTCAATGAGGTGAAAATTATGGAGAGAACATGGGATAAGCTATGTCTGTCAGCAAATAATAGGATGACTTGGAACTAGTTAAGGGACAACTCTCCATCTGGGAGAATAAATGGTACAAGAAGAAGACTTTTACATGTGACCTGTGGTCTGGTGAATAACATTACAGAAAGACAAATGCTGATAGGCATGATCTCTCATGTCAGTAATTACAATATTTCAAGTCAAAAGTGAAACAAGAACAGACTTAACATTATCAACATGAACTTATTTAGTTATAAAGATGCACAACTTGTCTTTAAAGGTCATGTATCTGTGCCTTGACACAAATTTGTTATTTAGAACTGACCCCATAAGTGTATACACAAATCGTTGCTTGACTGGTGATATTAATATCATGGTCAAAATATAACATATCAAAAGAATAAAAATGTCAAAAGAATGCATCAAAGCAAAACACAATCTGACAATGCCCCTACCCCCCTCCTCACTCACCCAATATTAATCAGCATGTGAAATGCTGCTTTTGCTTGGGCTATTCTACATTTAGCATACAGAAGCAATTCACTGAAAATAACTTAAGGTGCCATCGAATACTTGTATCTATACTTGAAATCAAAGTATTTACTGGATAAGTCAAGGATAATAAATAATAAAATGAACCATACCTTCAGATGAATGAGGTTTCTCAGCAGTGATCCATACAGTACCACGACAGACGGAGCAATTTCCAGCTCCACATGGATGGAGTCAGGCTCCATCAGCCCAGGGTCAAATGTGTGATCCTTTCCACTGGTGTAGGAAGTACCACCAGGATGTGAAGCACTCGAACAGCTGGGCTGCAGAAAATCAACATCAGGGATTTCTTCTTCCAAGATAGGGACACAGGTACCATAGTGAGCCAGTCGATCTGCTGAAGCATGTGACAGCAGAGGTGGTGCGGGGTAGTAGGTGTACGTCACTGTCAGGAACACGTATGGGGTTGTCCAGCAGTCCACCCATCCATTACTGCAAGAACAAATGTTTTATGTTAGATACCAGCTCCATTTTTTTTACATGATTATTTGCTTGATATTCAGCAGGAGTATATCAACATGGTAAGTAAATGGAAAAATTAAGTGTACGTTTAAAAAAGATGCAAACTTGAAGTCATTTCTTATGAAATGATTTGTACAATGGCAGAACTCATTGATGCTGTTAATACTGGTAATCATCCTAGGAAATCTGTATAAAAAACAAAACTTAACCATTTCATGGAGAGAATGGAACATATAATAATAAGGAGGTAGAGATGACTGTCCCTGTGTTAAACTTCCATGGAGATAGCTATTCTTTCTTTAAGCTTTCATGCAAAAGATCATAACACAGTTAAGTATCTGGCTGTTTTAAAACTGTTTAGAGAATAAAGAGACAGACAAAAGGTTAAAAAAAAAAAAAAGCTAGCTTTAGAAGATCACAAGTACAAGTAGCTGATGTCACTAATTTGCAGTTTCTCAATACTCATACGTCATATTTAGGACGTAATTTTTTGTTATTTGAAGCCCCACTCTGGCTTTTGCCAGGGGCCGCAATATAGGCAGGCCATAAATATGGCCAATTGTCTGAATGCGGTTTCTGGGACCTCTCCACGGTGATCCTCATCCACATGGTGGCACTTTGTGTCATCGGGTGTTTATCGCTTGTGTGATGTCCTGGTGGGGTAGAAATTCATTCATTCATTTAATTTGCAGTTAAATTTTTTATCAAACATAGATAATTCCAATCAATTAAGAGGTGAAGAAATTATGCTGGATTATATAGGCATAAGCAGGAAGACAAGAAACCTAAGAACAATAAAAGTAGAATGTTTTTGTAATGAATCCTACAAGTGCAAAGAAATAAAGGCAGGCCACACACAAAAAACAAATAGAGAAAGAAATTATAGAGTAAAACTGAAAAGATGGATAGGATATGGAATGAGCTAATGTGACAGCAAGCAACAGGATGACTCGGCTCAATTGGGGAATAGAGGGCAAAAGAAGAATGAAAAAATATTTAATATTTGTAATTTTATTCATTAGGATCTTTTACAAAACAGCTAGCAAGAAAAATAAAACATCTTGATTACTCAACTGTTTCTTAAAGCTTTACACAATTAATTACTGATTATACTTTTTGAATTTAAATGTAAATGAAAGCTTGACCTGTTTAAAGTGACATTCCTCCACTGTTTGTCGCTGGCAGGATCAAGACATTTGCCTATCTCATTTCCTTCACGATCCACAATTTTGATATTTTCTGACATGGCTATCAGAGTGTGTCTCATGGTGTTGCTTTCAGGAAGGTACAGTCTACAGAAGACAGTGTCTCCCTGGGGGATAAACAAACAAGATAAGAATGCACCAGCCACAATATTCACATGAATTACATGTGAGATTTATATTTCTTGAAAAGCCACTTTGGACATTCTCCAGATTGTTCATCCAATGTATTGTAACATTCCTGTCATTCACTGAGGAGATTTAGTTGCTGTTCTGAGCCTTGAAGCCCATTTGACATATAGTGCTAGCCCATCGTCTTTATAAACCACACAGCGCTCAGAGTGTGATGTGGTCAACAACATGCCAGACATATTTGTTAGCAGGACATACCCTTGTACTCTATTTAGACTGGGTCGGCTTCAGAGACAAGGTAAGCTTTAAAATATCTGACAGCATGCCAGAATGTAATTGACAGGGTATGACTAATATTGATGGAACCTGGCTGCTTTTCTCGTGGCTTGGAAATGTGTCAGTACACAAATCCATATATGCTGCTGTTTATTGTAAATCCATACCTGCTGCTGTTTATTGTAAATCCATATATGCCGCTGTTTATTGTAAATAAATCCATATATGCTGCTGTTTATTGTAAATCCATATATGCTGCTGTTTATTGTAAATCCATATATGCTGCTGTTTATTGTAAATCCATATATGCTGCTGTTTATTGTAAATCCATATATGCTGCTGTTTATTGTAAATCCATATATGCTGCTGTTTATTGTAAATCCATATATGCTGCAGGGAAGTATGATCAACCATACCTGTTGATAAAGAACTTGATGATGATGAAGAGTAATAAAATGGTTAAGAAACTGGAGGCACTGTTGTGGCTGTATGGTTAAAATACTGACCACATCAAGGATAAAGAGGAAAACAAACAGTGGTACTATAAACTGCAGGGTTATAAAAAAAACTTATTAAAACCATAATGAGAATCCAAATTAAATTTATGAAGATCTAGATGAGATAGAATAGAGAAATTAAACTTACATGAGGAAACACTAGGCAAGAGGGACAGTGAGATCTGCAGATTTAATTTGGAATGCATTTTTACAGTGCCTACGAGTCTGACCATTTTACCAGCTTCCATTGCCCTAGATCCTTTCGGGCCCATAAGAGGCTTATAAGTAATCGCCAGATTCACAATCAACTATAGTTTCACAACAGATGGAAGAAAGTGTAGTCATCATCACTTGTGATGGATGAACAACATGTGTATTGTGAACTGCAGATTCGGAAAATGGCAAGTGGCCTGAGGCCACAGAAATAATGATGCTTTATGCAGTACTGCATGTGCAACTACTGATCTGTTGAAATTACTGCTTCCATATATGATGAACTGCAATTCTAGTAGCAATGTTTACGTTGGATGTTCTAATGGCTGCCTTATGCATATGTATGATTTTTGGCTTTGCAGAGACTGCAGTCTGTTTAAATTTTTTTTTTTTTAAACAAGATTCAGCAAAGTATATTCTTAGTGTTTTTCGTTGGCACAGGAATGGAGCAACTATGGAGTGACAAGTTTGCCATGAAGCTGAAACTGATTAAATAATTAAATGATGTGTAAGTATCCTTGATACAGGAAAACATAACATTTTATTTCAATTTCACACAATGCTGGTAGGCATAACTAATCACAATGCAATCAATACCTTTATAACCAGGTTGATGGGAACAGTTTCTGGCATGAAGTCATTGAAGGGGAATGTCACACACAAGTCAAAATGTTCTCCACAAAACCCAACATGAGCTGAAAAGTCAAGATAGATATCATGCTACAGGAAAAGAATTTTTTTTTTTTCAATATCAAACTACTGGGCGTAAATTTGCCTAGAAAAACCACAACAGCAAGAAAGTGCTGGGGTTGGTTCTGCAACGTCTTGCAAAGGATACGCACACATATTTTGCAATCATGTGCTGGGGGGGAAAAGTAAATAAATACAAATATTTATCGATTTACTTATTCATTGGCACTTTCCATCTTTCCAGACGACAGTGTTATATTGCGCTATGAGGAGGCATGAGACTCACAGACCATGGGGATGGTGAGTGTGACTAGCAAGACCCGCCCGTGTCAAGAAAAGTCTTCCACAATGATAGCATACGATTTCAGGACCATTGTTAACAAAATTTGTGTTTAATCCGTTTCTTTTCAGATGCTCAGCTCTCATCTTTTCTGCAGTCATTTCTTCCTTCAGTCTCATTCCCTTCCTGATATTCCCTTCCCACACAACACGGTCCATGGCATTTTGTTCCCATGAGTCCACCTCAATACCTGTTTCATTCATGTCCCGCTGGCACACATCTTTATAACGTAGTAGAGGTCGGCCTCGACATCTTCTTCCTGTCTTTAATTCACCATAAAGGATGTCCTTAGGGACTCTGCCATCCTCCATTCTCCAGGTGTGACCCAGCCACCTGAGCCTTCGTAGACTTGAGCATGGAAAAGACTGTTGTAGTACCTGCTCTTTCCAGTACCTCAGTGTTTGTGATTTTGTCCTGTCACTTAATGCCAAGTATTCTTCTAAGGCATCGCATGTGAAAGCTATTAAGCCGTTTCTCCTAGTGCAAATAAGTTGACCAAGTTTCACTGCCATAAAGCAGAGTGCTGAGAACACAAGCCTGATAGACAAGGGGTTTTGTTTGAATTGTGAGCTTTCTGTTCTCCCAAACTGCTCATTGGTCATTGCTCATTGTTGTTGCTGCCTTACCTATCCTGATGTTGATTTCTTGGTCCAGCGATAGTTTACTATTCACTGTGGAACCCAGATAGGTAAAATGGTCTACTGTCTCAAGCTCTTCACCGTCAATGTAGACCTCTTTTTGCTGACTGTAAGTCCAAATTCACAGCACGCATCAGTAAAGGCAGATAGTTAACATTGCAGCTCCTCCTCTGAGTGGGTGGTTATTGCGGCATCATCTGCAAACAGCAGCTCTCTGATAAGTACCTTTCTTATCCTGGTTTTGGCCTTCAGCCTGCGAGCATTGTAAAGGCTGCCGTCAGATCGAGAATGGACGAATAGACCACCCTCCTGATCTCGAAAGGCATGTGTCAAAAGAAGTGAAAAGTATATTCCAAAGAGGGCAGGAGCAAGTACACACCCCTGCTTCACTCAATTTTTGATTAAAAACTCCTCTGATGTTACACCATCAAAGTTGATTGTACCTTTCATACCTGTGTGGAATAACTCAATAATGCTCAGTAGAGTAGGTGGACACCCAATCTTCTTCAGTGCGTTGAACAGACCTTTTGGACTAAACAAATCAAATGCCTTGGTAAGATCAATTAAAGCAACATACAGTGGTTGATTTTGTTTGCAACATTTTTCCTGCAACTGTCGTAATGAAAATATCATATCAGTGGTAGATCGGTTCCCATGAAAGCCACACTGGAACTCTGGGTAAACGCGATCTCCCAGGATCTGGAGTCTTCACAGAACAATTCTCGCAAGCATTTTTCCAACAGTACAAAGCAGTGATATTCCCCTGTAGTTATTGCAGTCACTCCGATCACCCTTGTTCTTGTACATAGTTATGATGCTTGCATCTTTGAAATCTTGCGGAACCTCTCCCTCTTGCCAGCAGAGTGTTATTAGCTGATGGATGTGTGGGGTTAGAATGTCTTTCCCACTCCTGATGATTTCAATAGGAATTCCATCTCTCGTCAGCTCTCCCACCTCATATACTTTAATACTCAAGGAGTCACTTATATCCTGTGCCCATCTTCGTGTTGGTCAGCCCCTGCCCCTTCTTCCTGGTACCATGCCTTCTGCTATAATTTTTTCTAATCTGTTGCGGAGCTTGATATGACCAAAATATTTCCGCTTCCGAGACATGATGCTGTTTATTAGCCAATTTTCCTTGGTGTTTTGATCTTTCGAGATGTCGGTATTTCTCCTCTTCTTTGTCCAAGATATTTTAAGAATCTTTCTATAGCATTTCAGCTCAAAATCCCCTATTCTCTTTCTTAGGGACTGTGAGATAGTCCCCAACTCACATCCGTATGTTGCTAAAAGGAAGATGCATAATCTAAAAATTCTAATTTTGATCTCCTTGCTGGTGCTTAACCATAGACTTTTTTGGCTGTTTAAATAAATATGTATACTGCTGTCATATTGCTGATACTATTACATATAAAACTGATTTTTACTCGCATATCAAGATTACCATTTTCCTGATGTTGAGAAGACGTGTCCACCCAGTTATTCTCATTAGATAGAGTCAGCACTTCAAACTGTTTAATGACAAGACTCAACGTCCAAGTGTACGGAACAAATGAGTATATGTCTGGAGGTGATTTCGATGACCAATCATTAACCAGATCTGAGAGTAAACAAGTAAACAAACCAATAATTATTTACAATTACAAAATTACAATGTCTATCTAAAGCACCTGGACAAGGCTAACAGTAAATAACAATTTCTGCACTGATATACTGAAACGCAGTTAGTACCAAACAGGTGTTACTTTTATTTATTCTATACATTTTTCAGCCATGTTATGAGAAGAGGGAAAATAGAACATGTTGTGACCACTGGAAAGATCTGCGGAAGGAGAGATAGAGGAAGACAACGAGAGAAGATGCTTGACAGTCCTGTTGCATGGCATGGAGGTGTTTCGGCACACGAACTGATACATGCTGCAGGAGATCGCAGATTATGGAGAGGCATGATAGCCCACGCCAGTCAGCAAGGCACCTGATGATGATGATACAAAGCAGTTGTTATTCTTAGCAAACACATGTTCAGTCTAAAGGATAACAAAAAGTTCTTATATCAGACATAATAAGTTAATAACAATTAGGACTGAGCCAGATGAATAACAACTGGATGAGAGACGTAAGATAAGAAAAACACATTTGGACAATCAATAAACTAAGGGCAAAGGTCATCATCATCATCACTGAAGTAGCACAGGGATCAGCTTGCTAAGCCATGAAGCCAGTTGGCTTCAACCTTTTTCTACAACCCAACTTAACAAATATATCACCATATCATGTAGTAGCTCCACTGCAAAATGCTGCTCTCTCCGTGGTCTACCTGAAAGAAACTTACAGTCTTTTGCCAGCTCTCCCATTTCATGCACTTTCAAATCTGAGTCATTTATATCCTGTGCCCAACTTCTCATTGGTCAGCACCTGCCACTCCTTTCTGGTCCATGCATTCTGCTATTATTTTTTCCAATCTGTGATGTAATTTTATACGGCCAAAATTGTTCAGCTTCCAAGACATATTAGCCAGACTTCCTTGATGTTCAGATCTTTTAGAATTATACATAAAATGGGTACATGGGAACTAAAACTGGCGGGCATTATACTGACCATATAACCCGTCAAGTGCTGACTGGTCAGCAAACACTGACCAGCACCATATACCCAAAATGCCCTTTGGCAGGTAAAAAGGTTCTTCAGCTGCTTACTAAAGAGTTAAAATATCACAATAAAGTATGCACACACACAAAAACAGAACATCTCACCAGAAAAGAATGATTTAAGATCATAGATGAGGTAGACCACAGCTTTGCAAGCTGTCAGCTCACAGCGCCACTCCTGACAGGCATTCCACTCCCTGGGATATGAAGCCGTCACATCAAACTGTCACATGAAAAATGCATGATATACTTGGGTTGCTTACATTTAACCCCATAAACAAATAAATAAACAAACAAACAAAAACATGAGCGCACATACATCCACATAAATTTTTGTGTGACAGAATAGTGCGCAGGGAATGACTAGATTAGGTTCTGCACTCAGAGGAAAGGCAAAAGGGACGGATAATCAAACTGCTACTAGTTAGTACCAATGACACTGGAACTCTTCAATGGCTGCTAAAGATGAGGACAGAGTGCATATTGGGAATGTTCAAAGTGCTGTGATGTCAGTTCTTAATTCAACTCAAATCAGCTCTGTCCCCAGAACTATTTTTGTCACACAGTGGTGCATTTCCCAACTGTTTAATGACTGTTATGTTGTTGTTGTTTTTTTTGGCGCAAGCAGAGTTTTGAGAAATCAAACTTCAGGCTTTTCAAAAATAATTTTTTTACGAAGTTTTTTCAAAATGCAGATACAAATTCTGTCACAGATAGATTATGTTAAACTAATTTGCTATATTGAAAACAAATAATTACCAGCTACTAGCAGTTCCTTTACTTAATTACACACACATGAGTACAGCTGCCATCAACAACCAACCTCTAAAGTTTCACATTCCAGCAGTGACCTGAATGACATGCTTGTGGTTGCATCCACCAACATCAGCTGACCCTTGACTTTGGTGACAAACCCAGAATCCTCCACTATGTATGGGATGGTCACTTCCACATAGGATCCTTTACCAGCATTCATATGCAGGGCTTGAGTCATCTGAAAACCAATAACCATGATCAAAGCGTTCTGCTAATACTGTCTGCATGTAATTATTATCATTCAATGGTAAGTATAGTTATTCACAAAATGCATTCATCAGAAGATGTTTGTTCCTTCTTCTTCTTCTGCATTCACCCTTAAAAGGGTGGTTGACACTTGCATATTAATTTTTTAGCTGGGCTGTAATATATCTTTTAGTTCAGCACACCTGATTTCAACCAAAACACTTGTTAAGAGGCAGTGGGCCACCCCCCCCCCCCCTTTCCCCAACAAAATTAGGCCCGAAACCCCCATGGGGAAAAGCAGTTATTTACAAGATGCCTTCACTAGAAGACTGCTTGTTCCATTTCCATGTCATCAGATACCCTTGCTGAATACACAGTTTGTATGTTAACAACTTGGTTGCTGCCTATTCTTTATTCAGTCAGCTACCATCTCGACAATGAAAGTCAGCCGCTAAATATATTCAGATATCTTTTGCCCTGATTGTAAACTCTCTTAGGAACTCTCTTAAGATGTTATTCTCCTATTGTATTACTGCCTAGCTCTTGCTTGACATTTTTCAATTTTTCACTTTAGTATGGTGTTTTTTAAAAATGCATGTAACCCTTTTGCCCTCTAAAAATCTTAAAACATGACTTTTTTCCATTTAAAAAATGCATCTTTAGTCATAATTCTCAGTTCAAGTCAAACTTTACGGGTCGCTAAATGAATTACAATAGACAGTGAAGTTCATACTAAAGACAACATTGCAGATATAGATGATCTATTTCAAGCAAAAGAAAAAAGAAAAAGATAATTCTCAGAAACTCTACCCTAAGAAACCAGGAGAAGAGAATAAAAAGCCGAAGTAATTTTGTCAGCTTTTATAAAAGTTCCGGGGGTCAAACCCCCAGACTACCAAGCAGACAGGAGAACATGAAGGCCACTGCTTCAAGCGAACGTCAAGTCACTTAAAATAATTTTAAATTTGTTTCAATAATTCATCATCATCATCAGATGCCTTGCCGACTGGCGAGGGCCATCATGCCTCTCCATAATCCACAATCTCCTGCAGCATGTATCAGTTCATGCGGCAACACACCTCCATGCCATGCAACAAGACTGTCAAGAATCTTCTCTCGTTGTCTTCCTCTATTCCTCCTTCCATACATCTTTCCAGTGGTCACAACATGTTCTATTTTCCCTCTTCTCATAAAATGGCCAAAAAATGATGACTGTCTCCTTCGGATGACTGTGATAAGTTGTCTTAGGGCTCGCGCCTCTTTCAAAACCTCTTGGTTGCTCTTTTTGGCTGTCCAAGGTATTCTAAGCATTCTTCTGCAAAACCACATCTCTGAGGCCTCAAGAAATTGTTTGGCCTGCCTACCGACTATCCAGGATTCACAGGATTTCAATCATTATAATTCATAAATACCAGGAAATGAATCTGTTTACATGGCAGAAAACAATCACTAAACACTAACACAGCAAAGAGTTAACTGCTTTCTGTACCTCTGACCATAATAAACTCTGTAAAGTAATTTTCAAGACATTAATACAATAATTTTTCTTTTAACTCTTCATGTTATCTTCCTTTAGCAGTTTTATCAATATCCTTTCCAACCTACTTCTTCTCAGAGCTTCTATTCAACAATGTTTGAATGACATCCACTGAAATATTTACCAGAGCCATACTTTACAGCACAAGTCAGCATAGGCAACAGCAACATGGAATAAGATATTAGAACAATATATCTTCAATAAGATCAAATAGATGCAAACATTAACATTAGTGTAGCATGCACCTGAAGAGATACAGCGACAAAATGATAGGCAATAAATTGTGCAATCTATTGTTTGTGTCTTTCTTGTTCTAATACAGCACTGTTATTACTATGATCACACTAAAACATCATTATTCTTACTGTGACCACACTAATACATAATTGTTCTTACTGTGACCACACTAATACATCATTGTTCTTACTGTGACCACACTCATTCATAACTGTTCTTAATGTGATCACACCAACACATCATTTTTCTTTCTGTGACCACACTAATACATTATTGTCCTTACTGTGACAACAACTTTCTTGTTAAAAATTCACTATTATTACTGAGACTACTTTTCTTATTTTATAAGAAAAATCTTCTGACAGAAAGAAACAACACATGTAAACTACAAGGCTGAAATAAAAAAATATTTACAGCATTTTTAGTGAAGAGAATATCAATAGCTGAAATGGCATTGATTGTCAGCTTCACTTCCATAGATTTGAACTGTCTCTTCTCTCCAGGCTCTGCCTCTCTGGAAGGAACCAGTGGCTGGTAGTCAGGTGGATAGAAAAATTTATAGATGAGCTCCCTGTGAGAATAAAGAGATTATTCATGTCACAAATGATGCTGAAGGAATTTATAAAAACTGTTTACAAAGACATATGTCCTCACATACTTTTGTTAATTTATTGTACTAACAGAATGTCATGTTAGGTCCTTTGTTCCTTTCATGACAGACTAGAAAGCCTCTCAGTTGCTTGCTAATTGTGATGCTTCATTTATTTTTATATTTGGGGTGTATCTAATATTCTATCTTATTGCTGGCTGATCCCTGCCTCTTTTTCTAGCAATCATGCCATTTATTATTATTCTTTGTAACCAAACTGTGATGTTTCAATTAGCCAAAGTGTTTCAGTTTCCAAGACATGAAACATCCAGCAATGTTCATGAGCCAGTTTTTTTCAGTGTTCAGATCTAGAAATATTTCAGCATTTTTCTTCCTAATGTTTATTATTCTGAACAATTTTCTATAAACTTCCATTTTCTTCTTTAATGGGTGAAATTGGTCTATCTCGTGCATTTTTACATCATATCATCAATAAGCTCTCTTCACAGCATGTCTGAAAGTTTCTCTTTGCCTAGCCACCTCTCCAGCCTTATATTTTTATATCTCACAGAAAAGATGAACAAAAATGTTTATAATATCTTGTTATGGGTTTCATTGTTTTTTAACCTCTGTACTGCTACAGCACATCCCCTTCTGACTTCTAGACACACCATGTACTACAATTTTTTAACAGTTCCACTTGTGCATGTACATTAAAGCAGATTACATAGCTGTTTAAAATTGTACTTGATTTTCCAAATGACTTTTTTTTTTTAAAGTCCTCAACACTGTGTTCAGTATGAAGAGTACTAAACAGACATGCAACAATACACTTCTGTAAAAGAATGTTTCTCTTTTTTACTGATGGTATGCACAAACACAATTTCTAATGTTGGTAGGTTATCATCCAACGCTTAATAATAACTCTTAAGAGTCCCTACTGTGTGGGCCTAGTCATCATTTCTGCTTATGGCCTCTGTCATGTGTACCACCAGTAATTTTTTAATACAGATGCCCCTTTTGGTGATGGTAAAGTTCTTGTATCTCTCTTGATGTTTCCTGCCTCTCTTTCCCTCCAACTTTCCTGCTGTCACACATATTCCAGTTTTCCTCCTTAATCACATATTTAAAGAAAGTGGACTGTCCCTTTCTGATGGAGGTAACTCTTTATGAGTTAACTTCTTTCAAGGCATCTTCATTATGCTTTTTATCTGTTTAGTGTAATTCTTCAACCGAACCACAATTCGGCAGCTTCCACATAATTTCTTACTAATCTGCAGAATGCCCTGGTTCTCACTTACATTCATTTAATAATGATACAAATTCAAAGAGTGAATTCAACTTCAAATAGTAGTAACAAACCTCTGCCTATCCACCCAAGGACCATAGTTGAAATCTGTATTCTTTCCACACTTGATGTCTACACCAACACACGGGTAGGTTCTCTTAACTAACACTTCTCCATCAGCCATCTGAATCTGTTCAGGTTCATGCTGTACTATACCTGATAAAGAATAAAACAAATCAAGTTTAACACTACAAGGATTAATTGCATCTCAATCATTCAGTGTATGTGTGTTATGTTTATTATAAAGTACATCACATAAACTTTTGACTAAACAAAATATTTTCTACATCTTTTGTTTCTTCATTTTTTTTCTTCTGATCTGCTGTCTGGTTAGATGAAATACTACAACAACTAACATGGGAATGGAGTTTGAGGCGGTCCCTGCAACTTTAAAACTAACTGCAAAAATTTACTGTTACTGTAACAGATTCACAAACCATGTTAAGAAAGGCAGAGAAAGACATGATGTGTGCAGAGTGGCATGCATTGCTTCATAGGTCCTTAATAATTAGCCCCTTTGGATGTTCTCCCTGAAGCATGCAAGGTGCAGATTGGTGATGCACCACGGGGTGGTGACCTGATGTATGACATGTCCGACGTAACTGAAGCCCTTTAAGAATAAAAGAACAATGCGGAAGCATGAACAGATCACTAGTCTGAAGAGAATGGTGCAGTAAGGAGTGAAAAGAATATACTGCTGACCCCCAGTACTCTGAGGAAAGGCAAGAAGGACATACAATCAGACTGCTACTGATACTCTCAGAACTGGAACTCGTTGCTGGCTGCCAAAGATGGGGACAGAGTGATTATGGGAATGTCAAGATTTCTGTGATGTCAGTTCTGAAGTGAGCTCAGATATCTGGATACGAGAAGTCTGGTTTACTGGATTCATGTTTCTGTAACTGAGACTCTTTAACAGCTCTATGTGTGGGAACATGTTTCACAGGAACAAGTCATCATCACACAGGGCAGGAAGTGCACAGTGATGTAACTGGTTAGCCCAACTAGATATCCAACAAAAGTTTGATTTAAATCCCAGCTGAGATGACACAATAGTGTGCACCAGCAATACTGTGCACTAAGGAGAGAAAGCTGACTCCCTATTATCAGATAAGGTCAGAGGTGAAATTCACTGTTTAACCCCCCTCTCCCACTCCACCCCAAGTATGTGTATATAAAAGTATAAAGATGTAGCGAGCTGGATCACTATGGCTATGAGAAAGCTATCAATAATCCAGTCACCACAGAAATGAAAGTCAATGATTTGGGAACACTGACAGTGGACAAAGGAGACATTTTATTGAAGACTATGTATGAACAACCGGTGGTTAAAGGTAAGTAAAGTGAAAAAGTAAAGATCCCTTTGCACGCCTTAGGCACATAGGGTTTTTTAGGAAGAGCACCCATATTTTTACAGACCAGTCGGCACTAGGTGGGTAATGTGGTCAGCATTACGCCATCCAGCTTTACCTTCTCAGGACATATATCCTGGTACCCATTTGAGGCTGGGTCAACCTGCGACGCTCCTTACCACGATAAAACTCCACACAGCCAGCAGTGGGTTTCAATTGGTGTATGCTGGAATTACGAGTCTGACTCGCTACGTCTAAGCCACGGACGCCGCATGGTTAAAGGTAGGATAAACTATAAAACATCATTTCTCAGGATGCTTGATTATAGATTTATGTGAGGCTCTAGCATGGAGAGACTTGGAGGACAAATCAATGTTTACACTCAGTCAGTAGCATGTCCTTTGCAGAACCTTGTTCACATAACAACCCTCCGGAAAACTTATCGATCATAAGCAAGATGTCCTGCATCCAATACATACATCTGGAGATCATCCACCACATCATACACACATCTTCTCTTTGGCCTTCCTCTTCCTCTCTTCTCTGCCATATACCCTGCCATTATTGTTCTCTCTAAACTTTCGTGACGTTTCAAGTGACCAAAATATTTTAATTTTCTGTGTTTTATCGTCTTTAATAGCCAACCTTCTTCAACATTCAGCTCTTTAAATATGGATGCATTAGTTCTTTTCTTTACACATGATAGTCTTAAAACCCTTCTATAATATTTGTATTCAAAGGCATTTATGCACTGTTCAGCTTGTTTAATAAGTGTCCAGGTCTCACATGCTCTTAGAAATCTAGTTTTTGTAGTCCTGTCCGTCCCACACCAAAATTTATTTAGTTGCTTTACACTCAGTATGATGTTTAAATTACAAGCATCCACATAGAAAGTTCAAATCCACAATTAACAAAGTTTATAGCAATCTTAAAGGATATGTTCAGTTGTTTGTCTGCCCATATGTGCACATGTGTGACGTGACCAATCTCAGCTGTATGACACTGTTACCTGTAGTGTCTTATTCTGAACAGATCAAGGTCAACTGCTTGGTCTTTCTAACAGTTTCAATCATTCTGTTCTCTGCAGTGAAATACAAGTTTATGCAAACAACATTATCATCAGTGCGAGGTAATCGGCAAACATAAAACTTGCACTGGACTGTGTGTTAACACAGCCTGTTGCATTAGAAACACTAATCCATCGCCACATGCAGCTACAACTGATGTCATAAGCAATCTGTATTGCAGTAATAGCAGGAAGGGCCATAGCAGAGAACGAAGCAAAGATCTGTATAACCACATGGCCATTGGAACAGTAGGTATCAATAAGCTTTGATGTATGTCTCAGAGAAATGCAGCACATGTGGTCATGCTCCTGGTGAGGTAACACCACAGCTGGATGGAAAATTCGGACAGAAGTCTTTATGTCTAGTTTCTTCAAATAGTCAAAAATATTGCAGTATTCACTATTATTAGCCAGTCTCATAAAAATTGGTGAAAGGGAATTTCCATAGTTTTCTGGGAACTGGCCTTTAAACCTCATGGCTTAGAATATGTGAAGACCTTCCATCATCACATCCCAATGGCAGATCTGACAAGGGACTACCTTTAATTTGCTTTTGTAAATTGTTATACCCAACAACAGGAAGACATTATTTTGTGAAATTGCTCACCAGGTTCATCCTGATAGTAATACACATCCACGTTGTTGGACATCATCACCACAAAACCCTCGCCCATGAATCTTGGCGGTCTGTGACAGAATAACAGAATGCAACCAAATCTGCAGCATCTTTCATTATATATCATGATAATACACTTCAGTTTCTGTACTAGTGGCTATAATATTGTTTCAGCCACATAAAAAACACATGAATGTTGCCTGGACATTATGCGTGCAATTTGTCCTCACTTAAATCCAAGTCACTCTCAGATTAGTTTTGCTTGCTCCCAGTTATGCCACATCAGGGCTTCCAGCAAGAGTATTTTATGGTGTACTACAGCATGGGATTATATCCTCGAACAAACAGAAATAATGCTTCAATCTTATGACTGCTCTCAAATCTGTCAGAATCAGTTGTGTCATCCAAGAAGGCTACATCTAGTTCCGGCTTAGACATATCTGCAATTTCTAATGTATTAGCATTTCTGCAGTGACCTGAATATATTAGCTAAAACTGGCATTAAGGTGGCTTCCTTTTGAATCCAATGGCTTTTTCACTGAGCCTCTGACATAAAATTTTTCTGTAAGCCTCAGTGATATAGGTCATAGGGTCATGGCATGATTCCTGATAAATAAGTGTTTTAGTCTCTAGAAAATGTATTCAATTTAATGGTTCATTTTTTTTAACTGATTAACCACTTTAAAAATCTTTATATATTTTTGGAAACAATTTAAAAAAATATACTGATAATTTTTTTTTACTTATTAATGACCCGGGAAAGATGAGTTTTTTTTAAAAAAGGTTTGGGGGGGGGGGGGGGGGGATCCCACAAGTTTGTAAATCTTTTTCTTATCCTTCTTTTAAAAAAAAAGTATTTGCATGATGAAAGGTCAAATGAGACACATGTAAAACTACTCCCTGAGACCGTTCCAGATGGCAAACACTTTTTTACCATATTATTCTTCTTCTTCTTTCATTTGCTTGAAATAGATTTTCTATATCTGCAATTTTGTCTCTAGTTTTTCACCATATTCTTCTTCTTCTTCTTTCATTTGCTTGAAATAGATTTTCTATATCTGCAATTTTGTCTCTAGTTTTTCACCATATTCTTCTTCTTCTTCTTTCATTTGCTTGAAATAGATTATCTATATCTGCAATTTTGTCTCTAGTTTTTCACCATATTCTTCTTCTTCTTCTTTCATTTGCTTGAAATAAATTATCTATATCTGCAATTTTGTCTCTAGTTTTTCACCATATTCTTCTTCTTCTTCTTTCATTTGCTTGAAATAGATTATCTATATCTGCAATTTTGTCTCTAGTTTTTCACCATATTCTTTTTCTTCTTCTTTCTTTTGCTTGAAATATATTATCTATATCTGCAATTTTGTCTCTAGTTTTTCACCATATTCTTCCTCTTCTTCTTTCATTTGCTTGAAATATATTATCTATATCTGCAATTTTGTCTCTAGTTTTTCACCATATTCTTCTTCTTCTTCTTTCATTTGCTTGAAATAGATTATCTATATCTGCAATTTTGTCTCTAGTTTTTCACCATATTCTTCCTCTTCTTCTTTCATTTGCTTGAAATATATTATCTATATCTGCAATTTTGTCTCTAGTTTTTCACCATATTCTTCTTCTTCTTTTTTCATTTGCTTGAAATAGATTATCTATATCTGCAATTTTGTCTCTAGTTTTTCACCATATTCTTCTTCTTCTTCTTTCATTTGCTTGAAATAGATTATCTATATCTGCAATTTTGTCTCTAGTTTTTCACCATATTCTTCCTCTTCTTCTTTCATTTGCTTGAAATATATTATCTATATCTGCAATTTTGTCTCTAGTTTTTCACCATATTCTTCTTCTTCTTTTTTCATTTGCTTGAAATAGATTATCTATATCTGCAATTTTGTCTCTAGTTTTTCACCATATTCTTCTTCTTCTTTTTTCATTTGCTTGAAATAGATTATCTATATCTGCAATTTTGTCTCTAGTTTTTCACCATATTCTTCTTCTTCTTCTTTCATTTGCTTGAAAAAGATTATCTATATCTGCAATTTTGTCTCTAGTTTTTCACCATATTCTTCTTCTTCTTTCATTTGCTTGAAATAGATTATCTATATCTGCAATTTTGTCTCTAGTTTTTCACCATATTCTTCTTCTTCTTCTTTCATTTGCTTGAAATAGATTATCTATATCTGCAATTTTGTCTCTAGCTTTTCACCATATTCTTCTTCTTCTTCTTTCATTTGCTTGAAATAGATTATCTATATCTGCAATTTTGTCTCTAGTTTTTCACCATATTCTTCTTCTTCTTCTTTCATTTGCTTGAAATAGATTATCTATATCTGCAATTTTGTCTCTAGTTTTTCACCATATTCTTTTTCTTCTTCTTTCATTTGCTTGAAATAGATTATCTATATCTGCAATTTTGTCTCTAGTTTTTCACCATATTCTTCTTCTTCTTCTTTCATTTGCTTGAAATAGATTATCTATATCTGCAACGTTGTCTTTAATTTTTCACCATATTCTTCTTCTTTTTTTCAGGCTCAAATTGGCCCCATCAGTCAGCTAGATTCATATCCACAATCATGGAATGTCAACAGATGGATGACCAACAAAATTAATTCCATATTTTAGTACCACTTAAATTAATCAGACAGGCGAAGTGGTGAACATCATGCTAGCCACCCTAATTTCCCAGGACATTGTTTGGTTTCCCTTTTAGACTGTGCCAGCCTGGCAGGCCAGGTCAAATTAAACAAAAATTTCCATGATGTGTATTCTTCAGACTGGCAGTAAAAAATCTGGCCACTTTAATGCCATGGTGCTCTATGTAGCTACAGGCGTGCACAAATAAATTATAAATGCACAGGACAGAAAGTACATACTCATCCTGCACAGGTCCATTATATTTAGGACTGGACACCAACATCAGCCTTGCATTTTCCACATCACATTTGAGGATGTGCATGAACTTGTCAAACACTGTGGAGGCTGGCTTGGTGGTGTAGACCATGTTGGCCCTGTCACACTTCAGCACAAAGCTGTAAGGCATCAGATAGTTGCCAAACACCAGGCGACCCTGAGGAAATTATCAGATCCGCCCCAAGGTGAATGAATAAATCAATCAATCAAACAAATAAAGAATCAACTGCGTTTATCCTAAATTGTAACTGCATTGTGCCGGTTTACAGCATGGCTGCGATATTTGCTTCTTTCAGCCAACACATCCAACTTCTGCAGGCATTTGCTGACCGGGTTAGCTTTCCCTGTTGCTTTGTGGGACATTGCAGCCTCACTGTTGTGTGGTCACCTCTGTTTCTGTTGTGTATCACCTCTGTTTCTGTTGTGTGGTCACTCTGTTTCTGTTGTGTATCACCTCTGTTTCTGTTGTGTGGTCACTCTGTTGTGTGGTCACCTCTGTTTCTGTTGTGTATCACCTCTGTTTCTGTTGTGTATCACCTCTGTTTCTGTTGTGTGGTCACCTCTGTTTCTGTTGTGTGGTCACCTCTGTTTCTGTTGTGTGGTCACCTCTGTTGTGTGGTCCCCTCTGTTTCTGTTGTGTGGTCACTCTGTTGTGTGGTCACCTCTGTTTCTGTTGTGTATCACCTCTGTTTCTGTTGTGTATCACCTCTGTTTCTGTTGTGTGGTCACCTCTGTTTCTGTTGTGTGGTCACCTCTGTTTCTGTTGTGTGGTCACCTCTGTTTCTGTTGTGTGGTCACCTCTGTTTCTGTTGTGTGGTCACCTCTGTTTCTGTTGTGTATCACCTCTGTTTCTGTTGTGTTGTCACTCTGTTGTGTGGTCACCTCTGTTTATGTTGTGTGGTCACCTCTGTTTATGTTGTGTGGTCACCTCTGTTTCTGTTGTGTGGTCACCTCTGTTTCTGTTGTGTGGTCACCTCTGTTTCTCAGGTCAAAGGTGGTGACCCACATCAGGCCAGTCTAGTGAAACTGTATCACCACACTCAGGGCTTGTCCCATGTGATCTATCTCCTTCCTCAGCAGCTAAAAAAGAAGTCCGATACTGCTGGTGCTAGATCCAACCTGACTAAAAGTTTGACTATTTCCCCTGCAGGGTGGATGTCATCCAGACCCCCTGTTCCCTCCTCACTGAATCAGTCTCATTCTGCAGTGCCCACTGAGACTGTTGCACAAAGCATCAATTCTGTAGCTTCAGCAAAAGTATCCAGGGATGTCTGGTACAATTACACTCTAGCACTGAATGACACATTCTGGAAATAAATTTGTGACCTTCAAAGTATAAGGCATATGGCTTGAACACCTCAACACCCCTTCAAATTTTATTTCACAGCTTAATTTTTTAACAACGGGAAGATGCTTGGAAGAAAAAATAAAGAAATTATAATATGTTCCCTCACATTAATTAAATACTTTAACATAACTGTTGTTAAAAATTATTTGAATAATTCTTATGATTTTATGGCACAGGTCACAACCTACGAGCTGTGCAACAACAACACAGTTGCAATCACTATTCAGCAAATACAAAAATTACAATATTAGAATATTAAAAACAGCAAAACAATGGAATAAACTAAAATTTAAAACAAAAAACAAACAAACAAAAATGCTCACAGACAGCATTTCAATCTTTGTGACAGGAATGAGGTCTCTCCAGTGCAAGTCTTGCAAACTGTAACAGAAAAGAGAAATTAGGTAAAAATTGTATTGAAATCAAACACAGGAACTTGTAACTATTTCAAATGCTGCGCCAGTGTTTCTGAATTAAAGTGCATTTTCCTACAAGTTTCATTTGCCGGCCATTGGAAATTTGTTTTCGCTTAACCCCAAAAAAGGCAGTTTTGAGACTTTAATGGGACTTTTTTAGGCAGTGGCCAATGGTCTGAGGTTTAAACAATGGATCAATACAATGCACGCGGGTAGTAACCCATAAGTGTTCCGTTATTCTTATAACTCAAGTCCGAAAAAGTTCAGCACACTGCACAGGCTCTTTAGCACTGGCGAGGATCCTGAAGTACTTTGGCTCGTTTTTAACTCCACATTTTGCCCGGGCAGCCTCATTAGGCTACTCTTTTCAATTTCCAACTGCCAGGGGATTTGACATTTAATCTCACAAACCAGAGACCAGGGGGAATTACTAGTCCCTGTGAAAAAATCCCAGCCCTTATCAGGGACTGAACCTGTGCTCTATTACTCGAGACAGACACCATGCCAATATGTCTAAATAACAGCTTTGGATATGTTAGCAACTGCACAACGTATAGATACTGTGGATATGTTTATATGTGTAGTAAAAAAAAAATTTTCAAACAGCTGAAAAAATTAGGGTGAAATGTTTTTTTTTTTTTTTGGGGGGGGGGGGGGGGGGGGGTCACTATGACTTCATAATAAACTCTGTGGCTGTCAACAAAACCACTGTTTTCTAAGTCAAAGGAATGGAAAGCAGTTATTTCTTTTCTGGTATTTGGTGATTATTTTTCTTCATATAAAAAAATTACCTTAGTGCAAAATAATGACTGAAAAAAGTGACTCAGTGGCCACGATGGTACAACAGCTACCAGGCTAGCCTGACCCAGAATCGCTGATATATTTACAAATCTGCCTTAGTAGGAATCTGAACCCATGACTACGAGGCTGGCAAGCAAGTGTGCTAGCTATAGCTTTACATGGCATAATCTATAGAGCATGATCATCTCCTACCACATGCCTGACTCAATAACAAATGCGCATTCAGTTCCCTTAGCCAACTCTAGGGCTTGCAGCAAACTATGAACATACTTACGAACAAATCTTCTTTGTTCCATTTGCTTCATTAGCAGGTTCTGGGATCTCTTCAGAATTGTCACCTCTAAACAGTTTTTCTAGTCGCATGTAAAGTGTGGACCTGTTGTACACATGGAATTCAAAGCCATCCAAGAAAACCGACATTCTTGTTTCCAGGTGAGACAAGTCTGCAAAATAAAAGAGGAATAATGTTCTAACTAACCAAAAATTATTCTTTTTTTTTACACACGTGAATAGCTGATTCAAAACAATTCTAAGCTACAACAAAGTAATGGGATTGTCACAGGTTTGATCTGTTCATAAAGACTCTGGTCAAGAAGTTCAGCTGTATTTGATTTCTTCTGATGAGAATGCCCTGGCACCAACTGCCACAGCAAGCCAAGCTAAAGAAATATAACAAACACAGAGCAAGGGGAACACCACACAGAATATTGGAAACGCACTGGAAAGAGCTCATACAGATCCTTACATCCCCCCCACCTCAACCCTTCAATGAAGTAATTGGAGGAAGCTAAAAATTATTGGGGGGGAAAAAAGAAGTATCTGCTTTTATCTTTTTCTTTTTTTCAGCTGAGCTTCCAAGTCATAGTCTGTGTTGAGTAAATTTACTTTCTGGTCTCAGTTTGACAGCAGGCACTCCTATTTTCAACATTATTATATTTTCTACTTGTTACATGGGAGTCACCGTGGCAGAGCGGCTAGATGCTTGTCTGCAGATCAGAATGTCATGGGTTCGCTCCCTAAAGGAGCCGGAGTTTTTTTCAAAAATGACCTTCACTCCCAGGTTGACCCAGCCTTGAGTGGGTACCGGGTGCAGTCCTTGAAAGTAAAAGTGGCCGGCGTGATGCTGACCACATCACCCATCTTGTGCCGATTGGTCTATAAAATATAGATATATGCCTATATGCCATATACCCCTAAAGTCGTTTAAAAGGGACCGTTACTTTACTTGTTACATAAAACAATGTTCAAAGTTATCAGCAGCACTTGTTACATAACACAATATTGACAGTTATCAGCAGCACTTGTTACATAACACAATGTTGACAGTTATCAGCAGCACTTGTTACATAACACAATGTTGACAGTTATCAGCAGCACGTGTTACATAACACAATGTTGACTGTTTTCAGCAGCATTTGTTACACAACACAATGTTGATAGTTATCAGCAGCACTTGTTACATAACACAATGTTGACAGTTATCAGCAGCATTTGTTACATATCACAATGTTAACAGTTATCATCAGTACATGTTACATAATACAATGTTGACAGTTATCAGCAGCACTTGTTACATAACACAATGTTGACAGTTATCAGCAGCACTTGTTACATAACACAATGTTGACAGTTATCAGCAGCACTTGTTACATCACACAATGTTGACAGTTATCATCAGCACTTGTTACATCACACAATGTTGACAGTTATCAGCAGCACTTATTACATCACACAATGTTGACTGTTTTCAGCAGCACTGACCTTCTGTAAGTTCTTTATATACATAAGGCCTCCACCACCTGAATATGATCCATCCATACTCTGCCCTTACAGAATAATCCTCTGTGATGAAGTGGACATCTCTGAACATAATCTTGCCAGACAGCACAGAAAATGAGAAAGAACCTGCAAAAATAAGAACCATTTACAAATCCATTACATTCTAGGTGAGAATACTCTATGAATGAATAGATAAATCAAGAATTGACACCCTGCACTCAGGACGTTCCCACACGTGATCGGTCTCCATCCTCAGTAGCCAACAAAGATTCAATATGCTAACTGTACCTGTTGCAACCTAATTAAAGTTTGTCTAAGTTTCCATTTCAGTACTGAATATCTTCCAGATCCTTTGCACCCACCGCCCCCACCCCCACCCTTCCTCCACCACGCTGAATTTGTTCATGTATGGGTACTCGGTCTGTTCTTTTGCACTGCTCACTTGATCCCAGACAGCTTTTACCACTTCCACTTTATCAGGTAGCTCACCACCCAGAAGAGCAGAGGCAGCAGTCAATCAGCCTACCCATTAGCCCGCAGAAATAAGAATATCCTAGACAGAAAATCCAGAGAAGCTCCTGATCAGTCTTATCAAGAAATTCAAGCTCCCTACTTGTAGGATGCCAGTTTAAACTTTCTGAAGCATGCTATGCCATCAGAAAGTTGTTATTACCGCCTCCAGGTCTATTCTCACACGGGATGTTGTGACGTTATAGCGAGGCTCTCTGTTTTCAGTATCCATCAACTTTTGCAATAAAACCCCACCCACCCTTCTTGCCTCTCACTACAGACTCATCTTTGTATATAACAATG